TATATATATATATGTGTGTGTATATATGTGTATATATATATATATGTGTGTGTATATATATGTATATATATATATATATATATGTGTGTGTGTATATATATGTATATATATATATATATATATATATATGTATATATATATATATATATGATGTGTGTGTGTGCATATATAAGGAGCTTCTCTTGTGCCTAGACGCAGCCACACACCAAAATGGAAGTTAGCACGTCACTTATTTTTCAAATTATCACGCTCTCAGCATTCATGGACAGACAGAACGTATTTCCAATTTCCCCTTTTCCCTCACTGATGGGGGACAGAAATGGGTTTAAAATGTTTGTTGCCAGATTAATGTTTTTAATTTATCTAAAATAGCTGAGCTGATGGTGGCTTATATATTATGTCACCCACTTCCTCATAATCAACATGTATTTCTTCCCTTTTTGCTGCATAAAAAAATTATTCCTTTAGTGGTACTGTAGCGGTCTCCTCATCATTAATCTGTAATCAGTAGATTATAATTAATATAATAATAATCAACTGTTTATCAAAAATAAAAGATTTGTCTTTGTAAAAATTCTACTTTAAAGAAGTTTTGTTCATTTTACACACACATAAAAAGAATGAAACACCATTTTACTAGTATGAACGTAAGTCATTACCCCAACTACGTATTAGCAGAGAAGACATTAAGAACAAAGCACAAACACAAACAAAAGCACCCACAGTCGGGGTTCCACTAAAGCGCCAAATTTTTCATTTGCAGCATGATTCATCTCCCACCACCACACCACCACCACCACCACCATGTTTTAACTAATGACAGCTCAGTACCCATTGGGTCAGAACAGAATAAAAAGGGTCCTTCATAAAACAAGCTGCCTAGCGCATCATTTCACTACTTATTTTCCTCATTTCAAGCCACTCTAAATGCAGCCTTTATGTCTGGATAATGAAATCGTTTGAAAGTTTTAGGATGATTAAAACATAAGTTTTGTGTTCAGCTGCAAGAGACAAGACAGTGAAGCTCAAGCAGCCTCGCAGAGGAGGGAAACAAGTGAGCAGGAAGAGGAAGCGGAGGATGTTGTGAAGAGAATTTCAATGTTTGGATTTAGTGAAAAGGTGAAGAGATTGCAGGAGGATTTCCGCTCCTCAGTTTGCACAAGTTGAAGCTTAGGCAGGCTCCAGTTAAAGGGCAATGCCTTCCTCCTTCAATAAATAAAGCTAGATTATTTTTTACTGCCGGTAAGACAAAATCTAAAAGAAAAACAAACAAAAAGCTGCACATTATGTGTCTGCAGCCATTATCATCGTCATGTTCTTAGTGATACTTCCTGACCGTGTGCTGATCCATCAGTGTTTCTTGTGTGTCTGTGTGCGAGGGAGATGCTCCACTGATCAAGCCAATCGATGCTTCATCTGTTTACTTACAGGCACCATGATTTCATACCCACAATGCACCTTGTCCTTCATTAGCAGAGAAAACATTGATTTGTCGATTGTAAACAGCGCGCAGCTGGAGCGAACATATTACAGGAAGTGGCTTGGAAAATAATTTAAATAATGCTTTGAGAACTAAAAATAACCTTTGCACTGGTGGAAAAAAAACAATCTGTTTAATGAGTTTGATCAGTTTATGACACATTGAACTTGAATGCAATCAAACAGTAAAACAATGCAACAAGTGCAGTCTATTCATGAATGAAACATTTTCTTCTTTAGAGCTGTGTTGGAGACCTGTTAAGGTTAAT